GAGCGTCCCCCGCGCCACTGCCGCTGAGGGGCCAGCAGGAACGTAACCTCGCGTTAGCAGCTCCTCCTTGGCTTCCTCGCTCTCCAGCTCCACTTCAGACACCATGTTGCAGGGGATGTAGCCGGCCCGCCCCGCGCACTCGCCTCTGTAAAAGCCATCGGCGTCCTTCTCGCCGCACACCTGGAAGAGACGCCCAGCTGCGAGCAGTGCCGGCGCCAGGGCGGGAAGGCAGGGCTGCTCCGCAGGCAAAGCACTTCCAGGAAGGCAGCAGCCAGGCCCCGCGAGTTCTGCATCCCGACGTGCCAGCCCTCGGGGGCCAGGACAAGGCCGGAGAGCACCAGCGCGGAGACCTCGCGTAGCACGTTCTTACCTTCAGGACCTGCCCCTCCCTAAACGGCAGCTCTTCCTCTGCGGCATCGGGGTTGGGCGACATAGAAACGGGGTCGTAGTCAAAAAGGGCCACAAATATCCGGACTGGGCCATCCGTGCCTGCAAGCAAGGGAGCCGACGTTAGCCCCATGCTCCAGGGGCTCACACGGCCAGACCGGCCGGGTCCCAGGAGAGCTTACTGGCTTCTCTTTCCACATCTCCACAGGGATCTGTCTCCCTCCATCCCCCTCCCCTCCCTGCGCCATGCTCCCCGGCAGAGGGAACCAGCCCGGAAGAGGAGCCCACCTGAGCAGGAGGTGGAAGAGTTCGATATCTGGCTTTCGTTCCCTCTCTGGGCTGGGGAGCCAAGTGAGCCGTGTGACCTCAGATCTCCATTCCCAGAGGCCTGCAACAGAAACCCCGGAGAGTTACCAGAGGCCCTGCCTTGGGGTGCAGCAGGGACCCAGCTCCCCCACCCCGCCATGCGAAGCGCACCACACCAAGCAAGGCGTCCAAATGCAGTGTTCCTCTCTCGGGTACTCCTGGAAGCCTCAAGCAAATCAGCCTGGCCAGGTGCTTTTGCAGGAGACCAGTAACGACTCCACTGGTGCTGCGAGGAGGCCCCGCCAAGGAAAAGCAGGAACGATCGGGGATCACCATTAATTTGCTGCACATTTCCCTGGGACCCCCAGAACAGCGTCCGGGGCTAGGCAGGAGGGCCCGGGGGAGAAGGAATACTGCATCCGAGAGGCTTAGCAGCCAAGCAACGGCCCTGCCACCTTTCTGCAGCACAAGCATAAGCAGAGAGCTCCAGGCAAGCTTCAGAGCCGCGCCGGCCACGCCACGAGTCCCTCTCGGCACAGCACGACGCACAGAGCGCACAGCGGGAGGGGAGGACGCTACGGCCCGACAAGCTGCGGCAAAGCCAGAAGAGGACAAGTCACCCAGACCCTGGTGTGCAGTACAGCCCCATGGGCCCCCTTCTGCGGGGGCTCCAGCATTCTCCGCCAGCCAGCCAGGCTGCCCTCTGTCTGGGTCCCAGCCTCGCTCGTCTGCACCAGGCATCTCCTTCTCCGGGCAAGATACCGGAGACCCAGCCCACTCCGCGGCCACCTCTTCTCCCGACGCTTGCTGCTTCCGCTGGGTTCTCCCATCAGCCCCGGCAGACTCAGACAGGCTGGAGCAATCCCTCCCCCCTTCCCAGCCCACCTGGGACTCCTCCATGTGGCCAGCGGGCCAGTCCCTCCTCCCCGGGCTGGAAGGGGAGCTCAGGTCTTGGTCTTCCTCTGAGTCATATTCAATACTGATCTCCATGCTGCTCGAGTTCGAGCCGGGGCTGGCGGGTGTGGCAGGCAGGGCGCTGCTGTGGGCTTGGCTCACAGGACCACAGATTTCAGCCCCCTCCACGCTACTCGCCCTGCCTACCGCGTTCAGTTGCCCTGCGAGGCTCTGAGCTCTGTACAAGCTGCCTCCCGCCGGGTGGCTCCAACCCTTGGTGACGTCGCTGCATTTCTTCCTGCCTTCCTCAGCCAGCTCACGGGCCCTGTCTGGAGAACTGCCCCCTTCCTTTCTGCCCCACTGGGGGCTCGTGTCGCCAGCGGGCGTCGCTCGACCCTCCCAGCAACCCCAGTCACAGCCCCCCCTGGTCTGAGTCCAGCTCAGCCCCC